TGACGGCCTGAGAGCTGAAGTGACTGGTGGACAGAGGTGAAGTGACGGACGGTGCCTCCGTGTTTGAGGAAGGGCGAAGGTAAAGTGACGCGGCAGTAACAGCGGGTTACCTCAGGGCTTCTCTCTCCTTCCTCTCTTGTTTATACATATGTTTTTTTCTTCTCATTATTCAGACATAACAGTATAGGTACATAATTACTACATATAAAGGTGCATATCCATCAGTCAGGTCAGGAGTGGCAGGATTTGAGCTCAGTAATCGTAGCCAAAAGTGATCTCAAAAGGGAGTGCGACTTATAACATAAACATTTAAATGGTGAAATGATAAGCAATTATGATTATTCTCTGTGGTGGTAACTGTGTTGTGGAGTCTAGATGAGAAACAGGGGAGAGGCAGAAAAACAGCGAAGAGAATAGTTAATATGAGGAGATAATAACAGTCTCGTATGTTCTCCTCAGTCCTCCTGAGAGTGTAGTGGAAGCATCTTGTGGCTGGTGTAGTGAGAGAATTTGAATCTGTGTGTGTGTGTGTGTGTGTGAAAGGTGGGTAATTCTCTGTGTGCGTGTGTAGGTATGCAGAGTGTGTGGATTTAGTCTGTGTGTGTGAGAGAGAGGTGAAGGTAATTCTCTGTGTGCGTGTGTAGGTATGTGAATGTGCTTAGTTTGTGTGTGTGTGAGAGGTGAAGGTAATTCTCTGTGTGCGTGTGTAGGTATGTGAATGTGCTTAGTTTGTGTGTGTGTGTAAGTATATGCATGTCTTTGCGTGTGGATTACGTGTATTTTTCTGTGTTTATGAGTAAGTGTGTATGTATGTGTGTGTTTGTGTGTATGTGTAAGTCTGTACTGTATATTTCGAAGACAAACAACTTTTTCCATTTATTTCTTTTCTTTTCACTTATAATTTGCGTTTATTGATGAGAATTGAACCAGGTTAAGTTGAGTATTAGTGTATGTGTGTAATTACAGTGTATATTTGTACGTGTACATGTGTAGTTACAGTGTGTATATGTATAAATAGTGTGCATGTGTGTAACTACAGAGTATATCTATGACTGCAGGGTGTATTATGTGTAACTACAGAGCGTATTTCTGTGTGTGTGTAAAGACAGGGTGTATGTGTGTAATTTAGTGTGTATATGTGTATGTGTATAACTTTTGTGGGTACAGTATATATGTGTGGCATACCCTCCACAAGGCATTCTAATGGGCACTCTGCTTCCTACCGTCATGCCCCTCTTTATTAAAACATCTCCGTCACTGCCTGCTGGACGCTCGAATCTGGTAATATTTAACACGTGACACACTGCATAATTACTGGGGCAAAATTATTATGTACTGAGTTGGAGTGTATTGAGAGAGAGGGAGGAGCAAAGAGGCCTATGAGCCTGCACCGCTTTCTACCCTCTCTCTCTCTCTCTCTCTCTCTCTCTCTGTTACTGACTCAAGACCCCTCATAAAAGAAGCTATTGATTGACAGGCTAATTATTAGAGAATCTTCCGTTATTGGACTGATTAGCTGTCAGAGAGAGAACACAAGTCAGCCTAATTATTATTCTTTAGGTAGACTCTGTGTTCGTATGGGCCACAACACACACACTCACACACACACACAATAAAACAAACGCACATACATACATACATACATACATACATACATACACAGCTATTCACTCTTACATGTGTGACTTTCTGTTGTGTAATTATTATTGTGATTTCTCCAGATGTGAGAGTTATTGGATGAAGGAACTAGAGACTGAGAAAGAGGAGAGTGAGAGAGAGGACAGTGAGAGAGAGGAGAGTGAGAGAGGTGGGTGGGTGTTATGAATGTGTCTCACGGGTGGTTTGTTGGGTGGGTGGGCGTTACGAATGGGTGGGTTGGTAAGTGGGTGTCGTAGGTGGGTGGGTGAGCGTTACGAATGGGTGGGTTGGTAAGTGGGTGTCAATGAAATTGGGTGGATAGGCATTACGAATAAGGTGGGTTGGTAAAGTGGGTGTATCGTGAATTTGGGTGGGTGAGCGTTACAGAATGGGTGGGTTGGTAAGTGGGTGTCGTGGGTGGGTGGATGAGCGTTACGAATAGGTGGGTTGGTAAGTGGGTGTCGTAGGTGGGTGGGTGAGCGTTACGAATGGGTGGGTTGGTAAGTGGGTGTCGTGGGTGTGTGTGTCACGGGTGGGTGGGCGAGCGTCGTGAAAGAATTTGTCACCCACCAGAAGAAAGACACAATCACCAGCGTCATGTCCACACTTCTGGGGTGTACCTATTGTGGTTCACCTGAAGATTACACACCCCCAGCTTATTTCACCTGATGATTAAAACACCCTAACGCTACCTGGGGGATTAGGTTAGATTAGGTTTGGTTAGGTTATGTTACCGGTAGGTTGATTATGTTAGGCTTAATTAAGTTAGGTTAGTGCTAGGTTTGGTTAAGTTAGTTTAGTTTAAGTTAGGTTAAGTTTGTGTTAGGATATTTAATCGTTAGGTGAAATAATTTGGGGTGTCTAATCTTCACGTGATCTTTCTTAGCAGGGCAGCACAGCACAGGTGTGGTGCACACATTGACCATCAGTCTGCCTGGCTGCCTGGTAGAGTCATGTACTGAACAATAAAGGAAATTACTTTCATGTTCAATATTAGTTTTAATATTGATCATAAATGTTTGCACACGCCGTCTTCTAACTTGAGAGCTTCAGCTACTCGATCCCATATGTCATCCTCCAGCTTGGTTTTCATGTCGTCAGGATGGCTAGTGTTATACAGTACCGTGGACTCCAAACAGCCTTTATAAGTTACTTCGTCATATCAAAAATCGATTATTAAATGCCTTGAAACTACTGACTCATCGACGTGCCGAGCAAAAACTATTTCAACCACTACACCGCACAACCCGACACAGTCCTGCGCCCGTCATGCGCTGCCTTGTGTGCGGTCCACTGCGTCTCCTGTGTGTCCAGTGGGCGCCTAGATTTATTTACACGCTTGTGAGAGATACTTGTTTTTGTTTCGGTTATCACTTTACGCTTCTCAGGACCACATTGTTTCAACCTGTATTCGTGGCGACTCTAAACACAGGGTAATTGATCCGTCATGCGGCTGGACACAGGGTATGTAACGTGTCATTAAGAGCCTGGGATATGACGGGTGCCTGACGATGGTTGAGGCAGTGTGTGTGTGTGTGTGTGTGTATGTGTGGAAGGTATAAGGATGACCTGTAGTTTATCCTCGCTGTCGCATACGAGGAAATGTAAAAGATTTATGTATTCATAGAGTTATGTAGATGTGTAGATATACATATTATAATAAGACGAGGAGGGTGGCTCTCTCTCTCTCTCTCTCTCTCTCTCTCTCTCTCTCTCTCTCTCACACAATTCTCTTTTTGTTGATGAAATTAAAATTCCGACTCGCTTAGACGTGGAAAATTAATCCTTTTCGGGGAAATGTGAAATAAAAAATGTGGAGTCTTTTATATATATCTTCACCCACTCAGGCCGCCCACTCATGGCCACTCGCCGCCCACACTCACTTATATATGGCCACACCCCACCTACACATGGCCACACATCAGCATATGGCCACTTCCCTTCTTCACTTGGCTACATGCGCAGACATTTATACACACACACACACACACACACTGACTCTCTTTCCTTGTCACCATGACGTTAAAGTGTGTCACTCAGTCCTGCGTTTCTCTGGAAGACGTTATGTCTCTCTCTCTCTCTCTCTCTCTCTCTCTCTCTCTCTCTCTCTCTCTCTCTCTCTCTAATGTGGCTGGTCTCAATGCTTCATAGGTCCGGTAGGGAAAGGAAGGGAAAGAGGAGAGAAAAGAGTGAGAGGAGATGGAAGGGAAGAAGGGGAGGAGAAGAGGGAAGAAAAGAAAGGCGGAGAGGAAAAAGGAAAGGAGGAGGGAAAAGAAAGGAAAGGAGGAGAGAAAAGAAGAAGAGGAGGAGGTGGAAGAGAAAGGCCTGATGTATTACCTTAAGAATGAGACAAAAATCTACACCTGATATTGTATTGCTCTCCCGGGCCATGGCTGCTGGTGAGAGAGAGAGAGAGAGAGAGAGAGAATATGTATTACTCTATTATATGTGTGAGACAGAATGGGTAGGAGTGTGTGTGTGTGTGTGTGTGTGTGTGTGTGTGTGTGTGTGTATTGGCTGCCTGCTAACACCACGTCACATGTGGGTGTCAAGTGTCAACATCTGCTTCAACACTGTCAAGACCGTCAATGACAGATCTATACGTGATGAGTGGCATTATGACATGGATTACCTGGCAGGTGAAACATAGCCCCCTCAGTCATCTACCTGTTAAAATATTGGTAAATTGTGATAATTCCTGGTGACTCTAATTTCAATATCTTTAATTAATTGAATCTCTAACGTAGCCTCCAGAGACTATGGTGTGTTCATATAGAGTTTAAATGTGTGTTAATCCATCAAGTTACTTAATTATATAGGTCAAGTTTACATCACCAGTCACGAAGTTCTGTGTACCTAAGAATTGGTTTAAAGGTAGAGGAATGCATGTGGGTGACCTGTGGTGTAATGGTCAGCATGCTCACCTCGCAAGGTAGTGGACCCGGGTTTGATCACCAGGCAGGGTGAAACTATGGACAAGTTTCTTTACGCCATTTGCCTCTGTCTACCCAGCAGTAATTGGGAACCTGGATGTTAATCGATTTGCGGATCGTGTTCCCGGGTAATGGTTAGCCAGTGCAGTTGGCGAATTGTCCGGTCTTCTCGGACTATTCCTTGACACTGGGTCATGCAGCTCGTTAACTTAGGGTGTGGTTGTTGTGTTGGCGAGAAGCTTCTACACCTTAAACAAGTTCACGCCTAGGTGGTCCTTGGGCTTCGATTATTATTATTATATATGTATTTATGTGTGTCTTCCCCGGTGACCACCTCACCTATATCCTTATGCTTAATGTTCTAACAAATATCAAGCTGACCAAACCTAAGTATTTGTCATTAATTTTGTTTCTTTTTTCCTCCTACAGATATTTTGGTGTGGTCCAGGTGGCGGCTGGTGATCATTAACTCCTCAGGTAAGATATGACCCACCTGTTAACTGATAGTCTCCTTAGTTTAGGGAATTATGCGTCAAACACGTGTAGGAAACGCCTGAAGAAACTTTAACTATTTACATGCACTTAGAGCCGTGGAAATCATGCACTCAGAGCCGGGGATGTCATACACTCTGAGCCGGGGATGTCATACACTCTGAGCCGGGGATGTCATACACTCTGAGCCGGGGATGTCATACACTCTGAGCCGGGGATGTCATGCACCCTGAGCCGGGGATGTCATGCACCCTGGCTCGTAGTTCTCAGTCACTCTTAATCGTCAATCGAAGCTGCAACTCACCCAGGGCCGACTAAAATGCCACGGCGTTAAGGTCATCATTAATATATTACACCATTAAGCCCAGAGACCTTCACAGTGTGGCTGGGTCCCCCTCACAACACAGGCAGCTCAGGAAGTACTGGAGGTCGCTACTGTGGTGAAGTGAGTCTTAATATATACGTGTATAAAGCGGCGTGTTACAGGATAGTGATGGCGGGAACATAATGTAAACGACCTGTTACTGTGTGTTAGATGTGAACAAACCAGGTGTTGATTCATGTAGTCATAACCCAACTCTTACGTGTATGGAAATGATTCGAAAAGACATAACACAAACATGTGATTCTGGATTCATTTTCAAGTGTTGGAATGAAAAGTTCAACCTGAAATTATTTACACAAACGGGTTTCGATACAGTGTGTGATAACCAGTTCCTGCAACAGTGTAAGTGTGTGTTGTATCTACGTTCTATCTTGATGTTAACTTTGTGATTTAACTCAACTGATCACTGGGAGATAACTTGATGTGTTTAAACTTTTGGATCCACTTGAAAAATAATGTTACTCCAGCTTATTGCACCTGATGACTAAACTCTCTAACGCCACCTGGTGAGGTTTAGGTTAGGTTACGTTAGGTTAGGTTAGGTTAGGGTGTTTAATGATAAGCTGGGGTATGTTAGGGGTTGGGTAGGTTTGGTTAGGGTAGGGTATTTAATCATCAGGTGAAATAAGCTGGGATGGGCTACCTGTAATCTCCACACGCGTGATCCCAACTTTCTTGAATATGATTTCCTCATCTTCTCCGAGGTGTTGAAGACGTGAGGAAGGACGGTGATGGTGAGGTGGATGACTGTGGTTATCTTAGAGGACGGTGATGGTGATGAGGAGGAGGATGACTGTGGTTATCTTAGAGGACGGTGATGGTGACGATGAGGAGGAGGATGACTGTGGTTATCTTAGAAGATGATAGTGAAGAACTTTAAGACAGTCATTACATTAAACACCGTGTAGGGAGGGGTTGATTAACTGGTACCTGAGTCTTGGATTATGTGACTATCAGGTAACTCAATTAATTTCATCTAATGTTTAAACTTCATAATCTAGTTTTAATATAACCTTAATCTATCCTTATTATCTCTACCCTAACATAAGATAAACATAACATAACATAACGTAACATAACATAACCTAACATAACATAGTCAACCTAGTATAATTAACCTAACCTTTATCACATAACATAACATAATTAACCTAACCACATAACATAACATAAACTAACCAAAACACAATTAGACACCTAAACAATACCTGTACACACACACACACACACACACACACACACACACACACACACACACACACACACACACACACACACACACACACCTCCCACCTTCCGACCATCTCGACATGATGAGCAAACAATTTCTTTTCTCTTTAGATACATCAAATATTATTGTAAGGCTGGTGGACGTGTCAGCTCTTCGTCAGGAGTTAGGCTGACGGCGAGGCTGACGAGCGTGTAATTATCTCGCTGCTTCATCATTGTTTACGGGTGAGGTGAACCATTATAAACTATACGGGGTAAACAATTGTTCTATCTATCTATCTATCTAACTATCTATCTATCTATCTAACTATCTATCTATCTATCTAACTATCTATCTATCTATCTATCTGTATAAGTATTTGTATATATCTTTGTCTATATATATCTTTCAATTTGTCCATCCATCTGTCTGTCTGTCTGTCCGTCCGTCCGTTTGTCTGTCCGTCTGTCCGTCCGTCCGTTTGTCTGTCCGTCTGTCCGTCCGTCCGTTTGTCTGTCTGTCTGTCCGTCCGTCCGTCCGTTTGTCTGTCTGTCTGTCTAATCATAATAGATATAATTGTCTCCTCTTATTTAATGTGTTTATTATGTATTTTAATTATTATTTCGTTCATTATTTTGTTTGTTCTTTCCTCCTTAGAAACATCAGATAATTAGAGGTCGTGTGTGTGTGTGTGTGTGTGTGTGTGTGTGTGTGTGTGTGTGTGTGTGTGTGTGTGTGTGTTAGTGTGTGTGGATAATTGGGGTATGTAGGATAGGAGGAGAAGGAAGAGTTGAATGAACGAGGAGGAGGAGGAGAAAGGACGAGAAGAAGGAGGGGGAAAAGGAGGAAGGATGAGAGGGAGGAGGAAGAAGGACGAGAAGAAGGAGGAGGAGGAGAAAAGGGTAAGGAGGGGGTTCGAGAAGAAGGAGGAGGAGGAAGGACAAGAAGGAGGAAGAGGAAGGACAAGAAGGAGGAGGGGGATAGACGAGAAGTAGGATGAGGAGGAGGGTCGAGAAGGAGGAGGAGTAGGGTCGAGTAGCAGAAGGAGGAGGAGGAAGGACGAGAAGAAGGGGGAAGAGGAGGAGAAGGAGCAGAATAAGTAGGAGGAGGAGGAAGTTGAAGACCCGTTCACGACATGAAGATTTAAGTTGAGTTTGTCTGGTGAAACAATAGCTGTTGTGGAGGCCACCTCGTTATACTGACTCGAGCGACGGGGCGCGTGGGTCAGGCTGGCACGGAGGAGAGAGAGAGAGAGAGGGAATAAGAGAGGGAGAGAATATCTGAAGGAGAGAGAGAGACAGTAGGGAGAGAGTAAGAGAGAGAGACAGGGAGAGTAAGAGAGAGCGAACGAGATACTAGAAGAGACAGAGAGATACTAACATATACCCCAGGTGAGTTAATCCTCGCCGCATCACTCCTAAAATTAACATATTACATAAGGTTTTGTCTTAGTGTGTTTTGGGGGCGGAATTTATTTGGATAACCTGACTATTAGACCCCCCCCCCTCCCACAGCTTGTTTCACCTTAAATTAAACAACCTAACCTAACCCAACCTATCCTAACCTAACCCAACCTATCCTAACCTAACCTAACCTAATCTCCTTGACCTTTAAACACGTACCCTAAATAATGATAATAATGGAAGCCCCTCGTATAACGAGGATGGTCGGCCCGAGGGCCACCTAGGCGTGAATTTGTTTAAGGTGAAGAAGCTGTCGCCAACACAACAACCACACCCTGAGTTAACGAGTTGCATGACCCAGTGTCAAGGAATAGTCCGAGAAGACCGGACAACTCGCCAACTGCACTGGCTAACCATTACCCAGGAACACGATCCGCAAATCGGTTAACATCCAGGTTCCCAATTACTGCTGGGAAGACAGAGGCAAATGGCGTAGAGAAACTTGCCCATAGTTTCACCCTGCCTGGTGATCGAACCCGTGTGCGCTCGCTTGCGAGAAGAGCTTGCTGACCATAACACAACATAACCTAACCTAACCTAACCTAACCACACCACCCTGTGACCTGTAAACACGTACCCTAGCTTAACACACACACACACACACACATTAGTCATCAACAACCAAGAATTAAGAGAGATCCACATCACTAGTTCGACTGTAATAACTTCAGAGTACCTGTAACAGTTATCAGGTGGGCAGGTTACAGGTGTGAGCAGTGCCCGCTGAGAATAATATATGCATACTATAGCAAGATAATATATAATATAGGTGGGTGGGTATATATAAGATCTGGCTACGTGAGGTTTTATATTAGATTTCACCACCTGAGTTGATAATATCGTTTGAACTCGACAGGAATATTAATTGAGTTTGTTGGTTAGTGTTTTGTACTGTACACGAGCTGTCATATACGTCACTAGGGGCACAAACGGTGGGGGAAAACTTGATTGGTGATGGTGTGGATACGGTCGAGTACACTGTGACATTAACGTCCTCAATGGTGGAGTTTAGGTTAGGTTAAGTTAAATTAAATTATAGGTTATAGGTAAGCGTTAGGGTGCTTAATTAATCATCAGGTTTAATAAGCTTGGGTGTCTAATCTTCACGTAATCTCCCCTTTTTTTTCGTATAGTTTCAAGGAGTAACTTAACCTGAAGCAACACCACCGTCAGTAGGCGATTCAACCAACACCTTGAACTGGCGGGTCGAGGTAGCGGGTTTGTCCACCACATAGATTATAAACCGCAGCTTGTGAAGTCATCGTTCTGTACACACGGCCCGGCGCCCACTACTGTACAGGATGTCTCACAAATATGTATACACCTCGCTTTACATATCCTCGTGGCGTTCACGTGAATGTTTATAATTTAACAACAACATTATCCTCACTTGTTGATGTGTGAAGTCTGTTAAAAGTGAGGAGAATGTTGATGTTATAATATAAACATTCACGTGAACGCCATGGAGATGTGTGAGGTAGTATGTACACATTATTTTGAGACACCTAGCGTAGTATTTATTATTATCATTATTTAACAAGATTCTTTAACTGTTTATTGTGAGTTGTGTAATAGATGAAGATTGAAGAGAAATGACTGGAAGTTGGATAAAGAGTCGAGAAGTAAGGAGGAGGTAGAAGACAAGACAGCGGATGTGTTTATTGGAGGTGTGTGTGGTGGTGGGGGTGAACGACTCTACCAACGGACGATACTCATTGACGTGGGTGGGTAAGCGACTGTCTAGTATGGCTGCCAACACTGTCCATGGCTGCCAATACTGTCCATGGCTGCCAATACTGTCCATGGCTGCCAATACTGTCCATGGCTGCCAACACTGTCCATGGCTGCCAATACTGTCCATGGCTGCCAACACTGTCCATGGCTGCCAACACTGTCCATGGCTGCCAACACTGTCCATCACTTCCAA